CCGTTGCCAGGGGCCGGCCGAGGCGAGCCGAGGCGGCCGAGGTGTGGCCGAGGCGGCCGAGGTCCGGCCGAGGCAGCCGAGGGCTAGCCGAGCTGAGCTGAGCCGTGCCGAGCCGAGCCGAGTTTTAGTAGTTACCGCGGATTTTTCAATAATTGTCGTTTCGGGATGACTTGTGAAGCCCTTTTTATGCGTTTTTCTTTATATGCAAATGCAGAAATGCATATTGTGACGACCCCCGTGTGTGTATGTGTGTGTGTGTGTATGTGTGTATATATATGTGTGTGTGTGTCTGTTTGTATGCGTCTCTTCGGGTATTTCAAATTGGCACCCAAGCAAACTCTGGCGCCAGAATTTTGCCAGTGCGTTCCTCGATCAAGTGCCACTCCAGGACCCCGGTACCAACCCTCACGCCAGTCTGGGTCCCACGTACGAGAGGATGAAAGTTTTAGCGGGAAAATCGCCAACTCGGGAACCAGAAAAGCTAGAATGTTGAAATTTTGAGGTTATGTTCCCCGTCCAAATAGAACTGAAAGATTTCAAATTCAGCCCCCGGTATGCGTGGTACCCGTGTATGGTCCCTTGAGAGGGGACAGACTTGCGTGAAAGTTGGTGCCGCTAAATTTATATTTTACATGTGCTGTGAACATACCATGAAAATTTCAGCCTCCCAGCTTTCCTATTTCCTGAGTTAACCATTTTCCCGCCAGGAACCCTCACGCTCTCCCCTCCCCGCAAAAGTTAAAAATACCAAACCTAGCTCTCAGATACGTGTGTTTCTCATGTACAGACCCATGAAATTTTTTGGTAGGAAAATTGCAAACTCAAGAACCCGAGAAGTTGGAAAGCTGAAATTTTAACGGAATGTCCCTTGTCCAAGTATCGCGTAGACAATTAACTTCCCGAATTTTGATGACCAGTATGCCACAAGTCCTGGCTACTGGGTTTCCGAGCGATCTCATTACAGTGTGAAATACTGCAAAAACGCATGATCGCATAGGCCTGCCCGGTGCTCGTTGACAGTGATTCAATTTCTAATGAATTCTTCATACTATTATTCCCGACGCTTTTAACCTTGTACTATTAATAACTGTTTTCTATATTTCATTAACAAAGAGCTGTATGCGCCAAGGTTGTAGGCACGATTATGCGTTTTTGCGCGATTTTGTTCAGCAGTAAGATCTTTGACAGTAAGAGTGTTCACCGCACCACGGTTTAATGCATGCACTTACGCTGGGGATCTTCTTGATGGTTTTTTCTTCCACGCTCAGGGGAAAGAGTCAGCGACTGAGCTGTTGGTGCTGCACAGCGGTACCTCGTGAAATTCTATCTTTCTAGCATGTCTGGTTATCATGAAAAGATGAATTCGAGAAATCTGCAAGCAGAATTCTGATGCGTTTGCATACGGGATAAAGATGCACGTGAAAGCTCACTTTACGCTTGCAGATCTCCACATTGAGGGCAAATATCCACCTAAAAGTTCGATTTTCAACTCAGTCTAGTTTTCGGTTTAGAAGGACACCACAGATTTGCGACTCGAAACTTGGTGTGTCTGTGCACGACGTGCAGGCGTACGTAAATGGTTATTTAGAGCTGCACAGCGCAGAAGATGTTCTTGTAAAATTTCAGCTTTTTGCCTGGTTTCGGAGAGGGAAGGATGCCAATAGTACCGCAAACTACACAGCTGATATGCCCAAACAAGGTCTGCAAAAATTCTTTAAGCTTACCGGCCCGCACATGGACAGCAAACATCTTTATAAGGAAACAGCTTTCTGCTCAGTTTGGCCCTAGAGTTAGAATGTGCCAGCAGTGTCTCAGCTTAGAGAGCTGAATTTCAAAAAAAAAAAAAAAAAGAATTCACTTAAAGAATGGATTTTTCAAAAAAGCTTCCTCACAATTGAATTTAAACATTTTTGGGTCCGCTTGTTTGGCCGTTGCTCTAGCTTGTCAAGTCCTTTTGTGGTAAAACTAGTTATAGTCGGTCTAATTTTTTAGACAAGAATCTGCTAGCACCGAAAGCATTGGACACAGATTTATATGAAGCTCCTGGTGAAGTGACGCCACCCGTGAAGAAAACCGTTGAAAAAACGAGTAGTTTGGCGAGCTTGCGACGGAAATGTAGCGGCAGGAAACTTCTGTCAGTCGATTGGCATGGCCAGTTCCTTGCTTTCCTTTCATTGTTATTTCGAGTGTCTTTGAATTCCTGACAGCAAACGTCTGTTGGGCGGAACTGTGCAAAAAGCACGACTGCACCGACTATCCTGGTGTACGCCGTTATTTATTTAACTTTATCTTTGCTGGTTACATTTTGCCAGTGACGCAGACTAGGTTTTTCAAATAAGCGATATGCATGCGAAGTTTGACAAGTGTAGAAAAGTACTTCGACATTATAAGTGATATTTTGGTAATGCAAACGATTACTTTATCTCGATACCTTGATCAGCGCTGCTCAGCTTTCATTTCTTCTATCGCCATCGATGCAACTTTCGCCTTCATTATTCTGCTCTGAACTGGCGGGTGCAGACGACGGAGCGGACGAAACTCATTTGGCAAAATCCTTAAAAACAGTAGTCGCAGACCGAATATTTCATTTCGAAACAACGGAGTAACTGCGTCCTTGCACACTGTTTAAGATAGCTCCTGCGCTGAGCGTAAGCAGGAGCCTGTACTTTGCAGAAATGGATCTGCGGCAGACAAAACGATGCAAATGTTTAGGAGATCGTGGAATCGCCAGGACACGATGACTGCCACTGCCAGGAGGCGAGCGAACAAGAATCAGCGTATGGAAAAAAGAGCAACGAAAACTCTTGGCATCGTCGTCGGTTTGCCAATTTTGCTCACCTCTATTTATGCGAATTTTCAGTTCCGCATTGTTATTATGCGTTTTTACTGTACAGTGCTATAGCGCTGCTACAGTGAGTAAAAATATATATTGTCGAGAGGCCACCCATGTGTATGTGTTCGGAAGCGAGTGAACTTTGTCACCCACTTTCAACTCAACAACCAGGAATGCTGGGAGGCTGAAACTTTGGGAGCATATTCCCATCTTATATGTCACCCTCTCATTTTAAACTCATCGCTCATACACGTCAGATCTCGAGCACCGATTCTCAAAAAAATATGCAAATTTTTTTTGGCTGGAAACGATTCTGGAAACTAGACAAGATAGAAAGCTAATTTGTAGGGATATTTTCTGTGCATGTATGAGCTAAAGATTTCAAATTCAGAATTGCGCCGTTTATGGAGCGCGTACGGTCACATAAAAGTTGGCACTTGGCAGTGTGCTAACTCGAAAACTAGCCGGAAAACAGTGACTGAAAATTTGTCAGAATATTTATTGTCCGTTTGAAAAATCGTACCTAAAATGAGTTCCCATTTGCACTTGCGCCACTATTTAGGGCACTTCAAAGTATTTGTAGCGAAGTGACTGTTTCGCTTACCGGATAAGGTGCGAGGCTGAAACTTCGCTGGGATCTTCTATTTGCATGTTTAGTCTTAATTCAGTTTGGAGGTGAAATTCTCTGCAGGTAGGTACGAGAAATACTCAATTTTATCGCAAACTCAAAAGCGAGTGCTTTTTGCAAATTTCATAATTTTCTTTCAACTTCCTTCAAATTTGCATTTTTTCAATGGACGAACATTTATCGGGAAAACGGCCGGGCGTCACGCAAACCCAAGATGGAAAGCACTAGACGAGCTGGTGCGATCATGCGTTTTTGTACCAAACTTGAACTAGTTAGGTTAACTGCATGAATGGTTATTTCTTTACACCTACCTTTTGAGCTCAATACCGGACATCATCGCAAATTCTGCATAAACGGAAATAAATAATTTTTGTTTAGTGGTCGTTTTTTTTGAAAAGACCCAATTGTTCAATGAGAAATTTTCCCGCCAAAAATTTAAATGCTCGTCACGAGGACCACGCGTACCTGGAGACTGAATTTGAAACCTTATTTGAACGGGGAATGTTCTCCTAAAATCTCAGTTTTCAAGCCCTTCTGGTCCCCGAGTTAGTAATTTTCCCGCCAAAACTTTCATAGGACCGCAAGTGACCTGGGGCATACCTAGGGGTTGAACTTGGTAACTTTAAGTTTTATACGGTCTGGGAACATCCTCTGGAAATTTCAGCCCCCCAGCTTTCCTCTTTCCCGAGTAAGCGTTTCTTCCACCAAAAATTTTCATGGAGTCTTGCATGCAGACCACGCGTGCCTGGGGGCCAAAGTTGGTAAATTTAAGTTGTACATGAACGGGAAGCATTCTCTTAAAATTTCAGCTCCCTGGCTTTCCTGGTTCCCAATTTAGCGTTTTTCGCGTCAGGAACCCTCACGGGGCTGTATGCGGAAACCACACACACCTGGGGGCTGAATTTGAAATCTTCGAGTTGCATGTGGGCGGGGAACATAATCTCAAAATTTCAGTTTTCTAGCTTTCCTCGTTCCCGAGTTATCAGTTTTCTTGCCAGAATTTTCACCCTCACGTACGCGGGGTCCAGACTTGCGTAAGGGTTGATACCACGGTTCTGGGATGGCACTTGGCCGGGGAATCCACTAGCAAAATTGTGGCATCGGAGCTTGCTTAGTTGCTGAATTGAAATACCCGGGCAGACGAACACACACACACACAC